ATATAATTTTTAAGGCATACATTCAACTAGTAATTGAGCTGATATAAATCTTCAGTAATACATAACATTCAGTTTCCCTAGGCTATATATCATCACACAAATCAAACAGTTCTAGCATACAATTCCTTAAGGTATCCTTAGCCCTGCTCTAACATGAAATTTACTTAAAAAACATAATAATCATAATACTTAGGTATGGGTATTTTGGGAATCACTTACTTGAGCTCGAACGATAGCACGCATCACACCTATTTTCTTTGTAGAATTTTTTTGAGAAGTTGTTTTCTTTTAAAAAGTTCACCAATTCCTCAGTTTGAGTCCAGACACACCCGAGAGTGTATCTGAATCCCTCAAACCAAGGCTCTGATACCAACTTGAAACATCTTAAAAATACTAAGTAAAAAAATTATTTTAGTCAACTCAAAACATCCATTCATTCATTCCAATAACCCAACATAGTATAAAATGTATCAGATAGTTATCAGAGTACAAAACAAATCATAGAATACAGAACCCTGGTGGATGTTCTGCGATCATGTCGGGACCTTCCCTTTCTAACCAAAAGTACCTGAAAACATTAAACCATAAAATCGTAACCACAAATCTTAGTGAGTTCCCCAAATATCACATACCGTAAAATTAGTGGGCCTAGTCCTAGGGTATGTTTCAACCCTATACATATCAATAGGCCTAGCTGTAGGGTATATTTCAACCCAATACATATCAATAGGCCCAGTCCTAGGGTATATTTCAACCCAATAAATATCAATGGGCCCACCCCATGGTATATTTCAATCCAATACATGTCAATAGGACTAAACCTAGGGTATATTTCAACCCAAATATACAATAGTAGGGCGATATTGGTGCCTTTGACCCACGAGTACAGTAAGAAGACTCACCCTGATCGATAAACGAATAGATCTCACATAAACGAGCTACCGATGTGAAGTCCCTCTTACTCAATGAATCCAAAACCAAAACCTAGTTAACAATTAAGGTAAATACCCCAACCCAGAAAGTCTAAAAAGACTAATCCTCAATTGGGCAAATATCAATTGTGCCCTTCTAGGTTCTCAACCTCTCATAGTTGACCAAAAGTTAAAGTGGTCAAAAATTCAACGGTTAACCTTCAATTGACTTATGTACGACGTACCCTTAACTCTACGCAGGGCGTAAAGCCTTAACCATAAAATAAGTGAAACCAAGGCTATGTTGGGCGTAGTCTAGATTATGCCCTACATACGGTTTCATTTGTCAATATTTATGCTAAGCACTTAATACATTAAGACCTTTCATTCAAAGCTCAGATATGACCCTAATGAACATTCTAAATCATAAAGTCTCCAACTTTATGCCTTTGCATGGCTATATGGAGCTCAAAATCAAACCCTAGCCCCATAACATTCACTAATGATCCAAAACTCTTGCATTGTTGAAAGAAGACAACCAATATCCCAGTTTTATGACTCATTAGCCTCATAAACAACAATAAAATACAACTACAAGGTCTGGAGTAGTTCATACCTAAATGGACCAAGAATATGGGACAAAAGGACATAAACTCATAATCTAGCAAGATCTAACAATACTTGCATCAAGGTTTAAACTTTATACCTTCAAAAGATGGACAAAAGAATGAAAGATCTGGATCCATAAGCTTGAGTGCACCACAACTTCAACTTTGGCCTCCTTCACTACCAAGATATACCAAGAATCACTTACAAGCTCCAAAATTCTCTCTTAAGGGTTAGGGTTTCGAGATGGGGGCTAAAGGGGATGAAGGTTGGTTATAAGAAAGCCCTCCAAAAGTTTAAGTCCTTAAATAGGGCTCAAAACCCCGCAATTAGGGTTTGCACCCTACGTGGTTACGCCCTGCGTAAGGTATAAAACCCCCATGCCTTGTTTAATGAACTACGCCCTACATAGTTAGGTATCCACGCCCTGTATAGACCCACAACTCCCAAAAATATAAACTTTAAAATCATAAGGAAATGTACCTAAGGATCGAGTGTTACACGGTTCTTCGATAGGGGTGAAACTTCTCCTCGATTTTATCAATCAAAGTAGACATCTGCTTATAAGTATAATCTCATACTACTTTTCCCACAAGGGAATACGTATCACAAAAAATTATCAAAATACATAAAAATTTAATTCAATGCAAACTCATAAGTATAAATAAATTGGTAAATTACATGATAACAGTTGAATTAGTCCAAATGAGGCACAGATGCAATGTATTCATCATGTACTATCTCATTATATTACATTCATCATGCAATGTTTCATCAGTATTTACTAAAACACATCTTATCCAACATATACAATATGGACACTTAGATTGCATATTCGTTAGAGATTTTAGCCTCATAATCGTTTTAGTGCTTATATTTTTTTTACTCAATTAAGTCCCAAAAACTGAAAATGGTATTCATTTTGATCTTCTTACCTGCTCAACAAGTCATCACACTTTGAAAAGTTACACTTTTGACCAACTTTTAAGTTTTTACAACTTTGGTAAAAAATTTACACTTTTTGCCAAAATTTCAAAATTTTGTTAGGAATTCAGTTTAAATTTAGTTTTTTACATCTTTATTTTCAAAAAAAAAATTGAATATGTTTTCTTGCTGTATAAAATCATATTTATACAAAAAAAAAAAAAAAAGAAGCCTATATTCACATAAAGAAACCTTATTTTTTCTATATAAAAACCTTTTTTTTTAAACAACATCTTTGTATGTAAGATACCTATACAAAAACATTTTTTTAAACACATTTTTGTATGCAAAATAGCGGCTTATAAAAACATTTTTTTATTTTAAATACTTATTTATAAAAATGTAGTTATCTTAAAATATGTGAAATACACTCATGTAAAATACGTTATTATACTCATATATACCTTAAAAACTTTTATAAAATAGGTATTTATCAAGTACATAAAAATATTTTGTGTATATATATATATATATATATATATATATATATATATATATATGTATGTATGTATGTATATATTGATGTATGAAACATGTATTTAAACAAACATGTTTTTATACCTAAATGTATTTAAATACGTTTATATATATATATATATATATATATATATATATATATATATATATATATATATATATAAATGTAGTTATCTGAAAATACGTGAAATACACTCATGTAAAATACGTTATTATACTCATATATATCTTAAAAGCTTTTATAAAATAGGTATTTATTAAGTACATAAAAATATTTTGTGTGGATATATATATATATATATATATATATATATATATATATATATATATATATATATATATATTTATATAACATGTATTTATACAAACATGTTTTTATACATAAATTTATTTAAATACATTTACTATGAAATATGATTGATTGTGAAGCAATCATTTTTGTTATTTTAATAAAGTAATTAATACATATTAAATGTTGAAGATTTAATTAATACTTATTATATATTCAACATGTAATATATATTAATTACTTTTTTAAAATAACAAAAATGATTGATACACAATCAATACTACATGCACATAATAGATAATTAGAACACAATAACCTAACTTTATATATATATACACACACCTTAAAAAGCATTTACAAGATTTTGCTGAATTTTAAAAGGTAAAAGCTTTTAAGCATCATATACAATAATTTTATGCATCGGAGAATAACAAATCTTATCTGGTCAAAGACAGATTTTGAATAGGTCTTCTAGGCTTATCTTCAAATTGAATGAGTTAAATATAAAAAAGTCAAATAAGATGATGATGATAAGATTTTGAATGGGTCAAAGTTTGACCAAATGTTCCTCATATCCAATTGAATCGGTAAATACTAAATCTTATCCGGTCAACATTTATGAAAAAGTCAAATAAGATGATGATGATAAGATATTGAATGGATCAAAGTTTGACCAAATGTTCCTCATATCCAATTGATTCGGTAAATACTAAATCTTATCCGATCAACATTTATGAAAAAGTCAAATAAGATGATGATGATGATAAGATTTTGAATGAGTCAAACTTTGATCAAGTGTTCCTCATATCCAATTGAATCGCAAAATACTGAATCTGTCAATAATAATGAAAATGTCAAATAAGATGATGATAAGATTTTGAATAGGTCAAAGTTTGATCAAGTGTTCTTCATATCCATTTGAATCTGTCTAATACGATGTACACATTATAAAACATTTCATATAAACTGGAAGAGGCGCATTGATCTAGCATTCGTTTATCATGAATGTCTTGCCATTGACCGCAAAACCTTGGTTCCCTCTAATGCTTGCTACTTCCTCCTTTGTTTTTCTTTCTATAAAAATCGAATAAGCCCAAAAATATATTATGTTTAATCCTAGCCCAAGTATAAGAAATCTCTATCTGTTCGTCATTTTGTTTAACAAATTTTTTATGTCATTTTGTTGATCCGCACCCGTCGTTTTGCGCGGGTAAACGGCTAGTGTGTGTGTGTATATATATATATATATATATATATATATATATATATATATATATATATATAGAATGCTATATTAGTCTTTTCAAATATAACAAAACCAAATATTCAATAAAGTACCTGATTTTGGATAAGTTAATTTTTTTGACCAAAACAAAAAAAACAAATTCCACATTGACCGTTTTGTAGTTTTTTCTATTTTTTTTTTTTTTACATTGAGGCACTGATATAGTGATATGACTTACAACATCAAAAAAAAAATGTCAACACCCACGTAAAATGCTATATGTGTAACTTGGAAACAACTTGGAAACCGATATATTTGAACATTTTTGTGCTTTCTCTCTCTCTCTCTCTCTCTCTCTCTCTCTCTCTCTCTCTCTCTCTCAAGTTACAATACTTATTGACACTAACGATGGAAACAAGTAATTCATCAGTTAAAATCTGTAACATGATAGTTGACTTGCTTTGTTTTGCATGCTGCAGGGAAACACAAAAATCTATGGATTCTTGTCATGGGTAAGTTTTTGTTTATTAAACTAACCTTTTCAGTTTCAACGACAGATAATTTAAGACTATCCATTCACTGTTTGGTGCAGCGCTTAGTGTGGGATTTGTGACAACTTTGTTTTTGCTTATCTTATGTTTCAAAAGAAAACTCAAATGGCCAACTAAGACAAAGAACTGTAACAATGTTGAAAACTTTCTAAAAAATCATGAATTACTCGCGAAAAGGTACTCTTATTTGCAAGTAAAAAAGATGACAAACTCCTTCGAAGTCAAACTAGGTCAAGGAGGCTTTGGTTCTGTGTATAGAGGAGTTCTAAGCGATGGAAATCTGGTGGCCGTGAAGGTTTTAAGCGAATCAAAAGGTAATGGTGAAGATTTCATAAATGAAGTTGCAAGTATTGGTAAGACTTCCCATGTAAATGTCGTAAGTCTTCTGGGATTTTGCTTTGAGGGCCATCAAAGAGCATTGATCTATGAGTTCATGCCTAATGGATCACTTGAGAAGTTCATATATAACCAGGCTTCATCGAGTAATAGCCAACTTGGGTGGAAAAAGTTACATGAGATTGCTATTGGGATTGCTCGTGGCTTAGAATACTTGCATATTGGTTGTAACACCCGCATCTTGCATTTCGACATAAAGCCCCATAATATTCTTTTGGATCAAGATTTTTCTCCCAAGATATCTGACTTCGGCCTTGCCAAGCTATTCCCCGAGAAAAGAAGCATGATATCAATGTCCCATATGATCAGAGGAACACCTGGATATATTGCTCCTGAAGTATATTCTAGAAGTTTCGGGCAGGTATCCCATAAATCAGATGTTTATAGTTATGGGATGATGATTTTGGAAATGGCTGGAGGGAGGAAAAATATTGAGGTAGAAGTTGATCATACAAGTGAAATATACTTTCCTAATTGGATCTACAAAAAGCTTGAATTAGATGACGAACTTGGACTACATAGGAGTATGAGCAATGAAGAAAATGAGATTACAAGAAAAATGATTATAGTGGGTTTGTGGTGCATACAAACCAATCCCTTGAACCGACCAACAATCACGAAAGCGTTAGAAATGTTAGAAGGGGACTTGTCATCATTGGAAATTCCTCCAAAACCTTATTTGTCTTCTCCATCAAGGTTGGGTGCTTCTTCAATTACAGATTAATAAGATCATCATTGTTCTTTACTAAAATATATTTTTCATGTGGTTATATCTCATAGATTTCTACCTGGGGACTTGTGTAGAAAAATATCAAAGCCTATTAGAAATTATTATATCCCGTGAAAACTTATTATTGATTTTGGTTAACTTGTTGCATCATCATTGCGCCGTTTATATTGCCACATTTCACTACTACAGAATCATAAATAGATTACAGCATATAGAATACGGGTTATAGAGTAATTCGTGTTATATAATGTTAAATACGGTTTTATTAAGAAACATCTGTATTCTATTTGGTGTAGTCGAAGTAAAAGAGAATAAAATACGCTGGAATACACTTATCCATATACAGCTGTATTTTATACATGATTTAAACCATAATACCTAAAAATTAGGCACCCTTATACTAGGTCCATAACCTTATTCTATACAGATTCCTGTATATATATATATATATATATATATATATATATATATATATATATATATATATATACGTATTCACCTGCCAATCCATCTTTCATTAAAAAAAAACGTAAGTTCATAGTTTTTCATATGGAAGGTGGTATTTATTCTGATTTCTGAACCATACATGGTGATGATCTGCATCTGAATACACGTTTGTCTTGATTTCTTCCAAGGTATGTTTTAAGCAACTATACTCTGTTTCTGCATCTTGCTTTCTTCTATCCGTAAAAAAACAAACCTCCAGATCACAATTCCATGTAGCACCGTCTTTAATCCCCTTGTTACTGTTACAAATATACAGCTGACTGATTCACGTTTCATTAGTTATTGAATAAATCTTCCGGAAAAGGAGGATTAGGATTACCTTTTACTGGTACGTGATTTTTAGCTTTTGTTCAGCTCAATAAATATAGCAACTAGCTTTCAATAAAGTATGTAAGACTATTTTTGATCGGTAGGAGTACCAATTTCAACAGTTACCTCCTCCATCCTCCACCTTCAATCTCTTGATTACCATCGGCTGAACCTTTTTAGGGGCATGCCATTCATAGCAAAATTGAAAAAAAAAAAAAAAAAACAAAAAACAAAAAACAAAACAATTGACATAGCACCTGCCGCCTTCGCTTATTACAATACACATAAAACCACCCCCAATCGCTCTCGTCCCCATCCATTCCCCGCATCGCCAATTCCTAAGCTTCATCTGAGATTTCAATTTGCCCTCAATTTGGATTCAACATCTTCCACTGTCAATCATGGACGCTGAATCGTGGTTGTTGTCTATCTTCTACATCATGTGTTACCAATATGTTCTTTAATCCCGATCGTCTGGTAAGATTTAATTTAGGGTTTCTTGTAAAAGATCACAACGCGAAATCTCACAGGATGTAAGCTTTGACGTTAACAGATGGAGAAAGGTGGTCGGAGAAGCACCAATGGCTGTCGTGATGCGTCTATGGATGAAGGCAGAAGTAGAAGAAGACACGAAGGGATGGTGGCAGCGGACGTACACAACTACGTCGGTGGTCTTCAATAGCTCATTCCCGGTAGTCCTCGTTGTCGCCGGTAGCAGGAGCACAACGGTGGTGTTTCAACGATAGGGGCGGCGGTTGAAGATAGGAGAGATAAGGTGCCGGCTGGAAAATGGTCGCTTGGGTTTAGGTTACGAACATAAAGGGTGACGGGTTATGCCCATCAAATATGACATCATGCATTAGTTGATAATTAATACTTGTCGGTTACAATTTTTTTTTTTTTGTTTATTAAAAAAAAATGATAGCAGCTAAATTAAGCATTCATGAATGAAATCAGGTTTTATATGTAAAGCCATTATTTATTCATTTTGTTAAAATTATAATTTCATTATATAAATAATAATTATTATTAATATAATTAAAAATATTAGGTGTTATATTTTCTGTTAAAAATCCTACAAAATACATCTTATATCATCCCAAATTTTTTTATTATAGATTAAATTGCATATTTGTTCTTAGTTTTGTTAATTGAATTTGGTTATAATTTATTCATGTTTTGTTTTTATCATGTAGGGTAGTTACCCATCAACAAATTTTAGAAGGATCTTCTTCAGGTTCTTTTCTCCGGTTATAAGATATAGTTACTTCCATATGGTTAAAGAAATATCGTTGGTATAACTTTAAATACTTAATTTATTAATATATGTTAACATATGAGACAAGTTATTTAAAAAGTGATTAGGAGTGATAACTTACAACCACATTTGTTGTATATTTATCGTGTATGTATTTTGATAATAACTAAATTTCTTGAATTATAGATGGATCGTGATACTTGGATGTATGGATTACAACGTCATGACAAAGAATACCTGATTAGGCTGAAAGATTTCCTTAAAGCTGCTGAGGATCATCGAGTAAAGAAAGGAGAGAGTCAAATTTGGTGTCCTTGTAAAAAGTGTCACAATTGTAAAATGTTTACCGATTTAAAGTTAATTGAAAAACACCTTATATGTGATGAATATATGAATGGGTATACTCGTTGGTCACGACATGGTGAGCTATTAATTGATCATAATTTGATACCGAAACTAACGACGACGAGACTGACGATTTTGACAATGATAATTATGATCAAATAGATGACATGTTACATGATATTCAAGATGACATTCCTAATAAAGATTTTGAAAATTTTCAACAACTATTTGTTGATGCGGAAAAACCGTTATATGTTGGGTGCACAAAATTTACCAAACTTTCTGTTGTGCTGAAATTATTTAACTTAAAAGTGAATAATGTTTGGAGTGATAAAAGTTTTACAAACTTGCTAGAGATTTTGCATGAAATGCTTCCTGAAGATAACGAGCTACCTGTTTCATTATATCAAGCGAAAAAATTGGTGTGTCCAATGGGTTTGGAAATCGAGAGAATTAATGTATGTCCAAATGATTGCATGATTTATAGAGATCAATATGCTGGTCTAGATAAATGTATTACATGTGGTAAATCGTGATATAAACAGAAGAATCATATGGAAGAAGACGACAATGTGAAAAGGAATGCAGCCCCTGCTAAAGTATTGTGGTATTTTCCCATCATATCAAGACTAAAACGATTATTTGCAAACGCCAAAGATGCAAAGTTGTTGCGTTGGCATTTCGAGAAGCGTAGCACAGACGGAAAAATGAGACACGTGGTTGATTCTCCTCAATGGAGAAATATTGATTATGAATTTAAGGAATTTGCTGCTGAGATTAGAAATATCCGATTCGGACTTAGTTCAGATGGAATTAATCCATTCGGAAACATGAGTAGTCAACGTAGTGTATGGCTAGTGCTACTATGTATATATAATCTTCCACCTTGGCTATGCATGAAGCGAAAATACATCATGATGTCATTGCTAATTCAAAGCCCGAAACAACCTGGCAACGATATTGATGTGTATTTGTCTCCGTTAGTTGAGGACATGAAAAAATTGTGGAATTTAGGCGTTGAAGTGTATGATGCATATAAGAAGGAGCATTTCCAACTACGAGCCATGATTTTTTGCACTATAAGTGATTTTCCAGCTTATGCAAATTTATCAGGGTATAGTACGAAAGGAAATAAGGCATGTCCAATCTGTGAAAATGATACACACCGGTTATGTAACGACCCAATTTTTCACGTCCAAAAATTTCGTTTTAAAACATTACTTTAGAAAATGTTAATAATTAAAAACATTGTTTGACCAAACTACATCACAACATAAACCATGTTCAAAAGTCAAGTCATACAACCAATCGAAACATCAGAGTATAAATCCCAGGGAAATCTAGTAAATGCGGAAACCAATGTGTGTGCATGATGTGCCGCTACCGAGCCAGCTCCTTCCCCTTCGATGAAGAGTTACCTGAAACCAAAACTGTAAACTGTAAGCACAAAGCTTAGTGAGTTTCCCCATTGTACCACAAACCATATAATCACATAACATACATAAATTGTCAGGCATATCTGGGTGCCCGACCTACCCCTTCGGTCCTCTCGACCAGATACTGCCTAGCATATCTGGGTGCTGGCCTCCCCTTCGGCCCTCTCGACCGGGTACCGGGGACTATTTCACCCCCTACTACTACCACATAACACATATATCACATAGTCTATCTAGTATGGCTGGGCATAACTGCCCCTTCGGCCCTATCGACCGGTAACCTAGGGGACTATCTCCTTTGCTATCACTAGCACATAGCACCATATCATACAAACACATAAACATATCACAGGTAGTAGAAGCCCTAGATGAATATCAAAGAGACAATCATCTAATCATACATCTCCTACTGGTGGGCCGACATTGTGGCCTTAGACCCACCGCTACTGGAAGGTAACTCACCTCGGAGTAGCTGCTGATCTTCGTGGGAATAGTCTGACTGCTGCTACTGCTGTTCTAGAAATCCTCTGGCTGTATTCCCACCAAACACTTAGTCAAAAACTGCTAACTGACCTTTGGGTAAAATGACCATTTTACCCCTGATCATGCCCTAAGTCAAAGTCAGAGTCAACTTCCAGTTGACCCGACTCACCGAGTTGGCTCGCCAACTCGCCGAGTCCATGTCCAAACGACTGACCTGAATTCTGTTTCTACTCGTCGAGTTAGGTGTCTACTCCACGAGTTCTCCTTCCAAACTGATGTTCAAGTCCTTCATCCTACTCGCCGAGTTGTATGAACAACTCGCCGAGTTCATCTTCATCCGATGAACAAGTTATATTGTGACTCGCCGAGTTGTATGAACAACTCGCCGAGTCTGATCATGATCTAAGGAGATTGCCTTGAACTCATCGAGTCTGGGCATCGACTCGCCGAGTTCCACTATGGGTGAGTTTTGGCTTCCAACTCACCGAGTCCATCCTGGACTCACCACACGACTCGACATAACAAAAGGGGACAAACCTGGAGACTCGCGACTGGACTCGCCGAGTCAGATGAACGACTCGCCGAGTCCGCTCCATGCAAGAGCTAAAAATGCGATTTTGCTCGAATCCAATCCATGTCATTCGTAGATCTGGGCT